TCAGGTGATGGTGAAGGGAGATTTAGACCCATTACTCTGCAGTGGGTCCTTGTGGAAATGCACCACTTTGCTCTTAACCCTTGCAGCACCAGCATTCCCCCAGGCCCTTGGTGCCATCTCCTTGCTGGCTGTTTCACCACCCTAACACACACACACTGCTGCATTTCATGCTTTGAAATAATCTCCTAGTGCTTAGGTATTGTGCAGGCTCTACCGTTTTTCAGCCTCTTTTCATTTCCAAGGCAGTATCAGGACAGATGCTCTTTGGAACTGCCTGTTCCGTGTATCAGGAGATTATGAAGAAAATGTGTTATTGCCATGAGGGCTGACACAGCCATTTTTTCCATCTATACTTACTGATATTTTTCCCCCCTGATGCACTGCATTATATGAGCTCCTCTCTCAGTTTCATTTTTTTACAGCCATTTTTTTAATATCCTTTCAAAAATGCATGCATTATTTAGCATGCTGCAGAGTGAGGATAGGCCAGGTGTGAATCATTTGACATTGCAGGAAAACAAGCTCTCTTTGCTGTATAATTACCAAATCTGCTTCTACAGAGAGCTTTCTCCACACATAGGCTACAACACTCACTCACCTTATGTCACCCGATATATTCAAGGTCACCACACCAGGATTTCCCCTAAAAGGCAGAGTGCTTAGAAATAGGGGACTAGTCAAAATCAGAGGAAAGAGTCATATGTGAAGCTTGGAAGATCAGAATTTCTCCATAGAGCTGAACACTGAGAAAAGAAAAAGCTTTGCTTCCAGTTCCAACATTATCTGAGGGATATTGACTATCAAAAAAGGAGAAATAGACAATTTTACCAGGAGTGATAATGTGTTTTAAAGTGACAAATACTTCCTTTTTTTGTTGGGAGGAGGGACTTGGTGAAACATAGCACCTACAGAAACCCTTTGAATGGTAGGTGATGCCATGCAATGTTACTATGCAGGCACAGTATTACCCCACCCGTGCCAAATTCACCTTAGATGTCATCTCCTTTTCACCAAGGCTCAGAAGCTTTCCCCTTCAAAACCCACTTTTTCATGTTTTCCTTTCATTTAGTCCCCAATTAGCTTTTTCAATAGAGTTAAACTGGAGGCTAATCCCTTCAATTTGAAGGTTGTCTGTATGAGGGTACTTGAGAGCAATCAATTCAAACTAATTAAGGGTTTAAATTGAAGGCAGCAGAGTCAACCTGCATGAGTCCACCTTATGGATACCTGCTCACAGCAGCCTCACCACAATTAAGCAGAGTGTGTTTCCACAGTGGACAATGTAGGCTATGTGTGTAGGATGCATCCAATTCGTCCAGGTGCATTAGCTGTCAAACTTCCATGAAACCTGAAATAACATGATAGCTCAGGATATCCTCCCAGTGATAACACAAAACCCCTCCAACCACTGCTTTGTGCACTCAATGCAGGCACACACTTCAATTACTTCTATACCTAAATCAAACTGCAATTACTTCAGTTCCCAATGAACATCTACTCGGAAAACTGGTTTACTACAGTGTAAGACTTAATTCAGACAAAGCATCTCTGAGCAGCCAGGCTATGCTCTCAGGTGTCACTAACTAATGTGATCAGGAGCAGCTGGGTTGCAAACTGCTGCTTCTCATTCTCCTAAGCAAGGACACAGGCTGTGAGTGCAAACTGATCTAAAAGTTCACTGTCCTCTTGGATTGACAGGGCTAAGAAAGGAAATACGTGTGTGTGTGTGTTTTAAAGGACAGATTTAAGCTGCTGGTCTGTTCTCCTTGACCACAAAAAAACCCTCACAAACTGTTTCAAAATGTCACTCTATTATTTGCACAGAGGAATCTAAATAACATGCACTACCTAAAGCTCTCCTGCACAATTCTGGTTTTGGGACATTCCAGTGCTACAGATCATAGAATAGATTGGATTGGAAGGGACGTTTAAGATCATCTAGTTCCAACCACCCTGCCATGGGAAAGGATATCTCCCACTAGACCAGGTTACTCATATGATGACCATATGAGCTCATGAAGACATATAAAGTGTCTTCCAACCTTCACCCCTTTTTCCCTTTACTGGGGGGGCCCTCATCCCTGCCCACTGGATCTGATCTTTGCAGACCACCCTGTTACAAACAGCCCATCGACTGTGTCCTTACCTGAGGAACTTGGCTTTCAGGCTCTGCTCACAGCACTGCTCCCCTGCTAGTGCTGAGCAATGCAGACAACATGAGCAGACTGCTTACACATCCTGTCCTGCCCCAGTAAGCATTTTAGCTGCCAGGTTACAAAATCACACACCAGCTTGTGCCCTAGTTTTGGCCTGGTGTCCCTGGCTTTCCTGTACAGTAACTGAGCTTGCACAAGAGGAGGCCAGAGCTTGCACACAGCCTGGGCACCTGGCTCACAGGCATAAGGCAAGAGACTGAAGTTCCTCTAGATAGGGAGCTGAACACAGGTCCTCTGTCTCCTTGGAAAGAACACTGAACACTGGGACATTTTATTTGGAAGGTACTACCCCCTCCATCACCTTCAGCAAATAATAATACAGTTACATGTAATAATTCAGTGTTGGAAACATTAAACCTGCCAATCCCTGCTCATGCAACACCTCCTAAAAAGAACTCCTGTGGTTTTAAACATCAACAATCCGAAAACTAAATGGGATGTTACTGTGATCCTCTCTGTGCAGTTGAGTTTGGTCCATATGCAAGTGCTGTGTGTCAGCTTTCTGTGCCAGCGTCAGCATATGGGATCAGGCACAGATGAGGAGTTCTGAACTTTCCTGCAGACAGATGAATGAATTCAAGCTGAAGCAGCAGCACAGATCTTGCCCTAGCCAGCCCCAAAATAGTAAAGAAATCAGTTTTCTACATTTACCTCAGTGTGGAAGGGTTTGTGTGTTCATCGGTGAGCTCCTAGGCTAAACTTTCATAAGAGGTATAGCTCGTTATTTCTACAGTCAAAAGGATGTAGGAGTTTTGAATATTAGCATGATATTATCTTCTTTTTTGCTTTCACTGCATTCAGCAAGGCTGGCTCCACTAAATAGGACATAAATCTTAATTGTCTGTAATCTGTAATAGAAAGATGTTTTTGTAAAAGGATTCCTTGGCAGACTACTATCCATTTTGTACCACTTTTTCTTCCCTTGTTCTCTCTCTTTTTTCTTCTATGAGAAGGAAACAGATTTTTCCCTTTCTTTTTATTCTTTAGCCTGATCTTATTCTTGTAGCTGATATGTAAGAGCATTGGTACAATGTAGTTTTTCATTTGGGCACCTTTTTAAAGATGGATTCCATTGCATGATCTGACCAGTGAGAAATGACCCAGCACTTCCCCTTGGAATACTAACACCAAATTACCTGGCTTCCTGGGGCCTGATAGAGATGCAGGGAGAATTAAAAAAGATGACTGCACAAGAGCAGTGGTAACTGATGTAGGGTTTGCCTGCTGAGCTTTTGACCTCAGCCGTTTCTACAGTAACTGCACGGTGTATTGTGCTTTCTATTCTCAGACTCACATTGGAAGCCAATTAAATTAAAAGGCTATTCATTTCATTACATTTGTCTCCAGGACGCTCAAATAAAAATGCAAACGATTCCTGTTCAGAGTTTCCCACATCAGAGAAAGTGATATTGTACTGCTAATTTGTGATAACAATATAAACCAATATGTAATCTGCACTGATTTAAAAGATGTGCATAGGATGTACATTGAACTTACAAAACACTGATTAGGGAGATCATGAAATTAAATCTTGCAAAGGGCACCTCTTTCAAACCCTCAAGGCAGCTCTTTTTCTTGCTTTAATCAGATAGCTAATCATTGTAGCTCACACTTTCCAAGAGCCAGATTCATCAATACTAGGAAACATGGATTTGCAATACTGAACAGTTTCAGTCTCGGGAAAGCTTGGTGAAAATAAAAGCTGTAAAAAGTTGGTTGGTAAGCACTTTGCTGCTTTAAAAAAGGCAGTGTAAGAAATGAGAGAATAGTTCCTACTAAAAATAAAGCAAAAATCATATGAGGAATGATCCCCCAATTTGAACAATGAAGAAACATATTCTCGAACACGCTGTTTTCTTGAGAACTGGTTGTAACTCCAGCTCAGTAAGAAATTAACATCACAGGAAAGGGATTGACATGGAACATTATTCTACTGCCTGTACTTTTATTCTACATAAAGCTTTTGGTATGGTTCCCTGTGTCACTTAGAGTGATAGTAATTTCTGATCTGGAGGAATGACCTTCACATTGAAGGGAAGAAAGAAGACTTGAACACCATCATGCAGGATACAAAATAACAGCCTGCAACATGCCATTTACAGATCATTTTTTGCAGGCTAGCAACCCCAAATTGAAACTTGCCTATCATCAATGGCAGATCAGATTTTAGGGCTTTTATAATGGTCACGGTACTGAAGGCTTGTTGATAGAGTAGATGTGGCTTATAATGGAGGCAGCAGCCTTCATTGCGGCTTATCTAGACATGGTTGGCAGGATATAATAAGCTAAACGAGGTTGAAATGACAAAAATGTCTCGAGGCTTATGAAAACCTGGAACACTATTTAAAGGAAAACCTGGCAGTTTAGACACAATTGACACACACTTAACTCCCCTTTCAGGTGGATGAAATAATTCTGGGCCAGAAGCATTCACCTGCAGGGCTGAAACTCATGGACCTTCCACCACGGGTGAGCTTAAAGGCAGCTCTCTGGGTTGAGAAAATGAATTTGTTTCTCCCTGATATGAATAAATCAATTTTGTTTTCTTCCCTTCCTGCCTCTCAATACAATTTCAATCAGCCGTTGAAGCACTTAAGACAGAAAATTCAGAAGTGAAAAACTTAAAAGTAAAATAAAGATTTCTTAAAATGCCTGGGAAATAGAAGCAAATATGAAAGTTTCATGAAGGTCATACAATCGGGTCTAAGTCATCCTCTACTACAGTAAGTAGAAGGCACTCAATAAAATGAAAGGCAACTGCTTTAGAAAACACTGAAGGAGAAGTTCTTTTTGACAGTGTATTTATTATTAGCCTGAGGATTTTATGCTGCAGAGTAGCAAAGAGGTCAGCAGCTTAGCTGCCTTCCAAAAAGCCTGAAAAAAACCCAGTAGTGTACTGCAAGCCAAAACACCTAAAGGGGGTTTTGTGTGTGCACACATGCATATGCAGCCAGTATAACAGGTAGAACAGCAGAAAGCAAGCTTTATAGAATAAGGGCCATAAACTCTGTGCAGGCACATTTTTCTATAGATTACCCTGCTGTAAAGTTTCTTGAACCATCTTCCGATATGGCTGGAATGGGCCTTGCTGAAAGAGAGGATAACGAATTAGAAAATCCATAGGTCTATCTGATATGGAGCTTCCAATCTTTCTGTATCCTCTGCTGCCCAATTTCCTTTCTTTGAGATAGTTTTCCTTATTATTGCAATTCCTTTGAAGAACATTGACCTTGAAATGGATGCAACAGTGATGGGGCAATATTTTTCACTCCTGTCCCAGTTTGGCAACTTGGATGATGAGGTCTCCAACAAGCAAGCTCTGTCTTTGGTGATTTATTTTTGTTTGCTTCTCTAACAACCTAAGGTTCTAATAAAAAGACCAATAGCTCTTCAAACATTTATCTTTCTGTATGACATCTTCCAAACTAAGCCTTTCCTGAACGTGAGTTCATTTGAAAAGGTAGAAAAGGAAAAGTACCCTGGAATTTTCAATCCATTTTTCTTAAATGAAAAAGGTGGTTAAAAACACAAACTTTTCTTTTTAAAAAGAAAGTATTTTTGGTGATTAAAGAAAAATTGAGGGAGAAACTGAGTAGAACTCATTGCTGTAATGTAATTGTGGTCAAAGGCTCAGCCAGCTTCAAAGGAGGACTTGGCTTTATAAAAGAAACAACATTTAGTTACAATAGCTAATGATAAAGAGAAGTATAATGGGAAGGAAAGACAACTTATTTCATAGGAGGACTTGACAATGCATTCAGGACAAGACCCAATTAGGACAGATTACCTTATTTCTTTCTTTTTACGAAGTGTTCTGCACAATCACTTCAGGCATGTTTTCCTGTCCAGTGTTATGAGAAGAGCTAAGATCTGGAAGTTTATTCCTGTGAAAGTAACAGAGAAAATACACTATTAAACATGGAAAAGTATCTGACCATCCTGATAATGGCGGATGTTGATGGTGTTCTGTACCAGGCACATATTCTATTATGTTACTTGCTTTTGTATTTTTGTTGGGACAGAAAATTAAGTACTTTTTGCATGAGAGTGCTGAGAAAAAAGAAAGTGAAAAATAGATTTGATTTTCTCTGCAAACTTGAACAGTTTTTAAATGTAGGTCTTTCCAAAAATAAAAAGTATTATAAAGAAAGCAATTTTTGGTGAAGAATAAATCAATGTGAGTTTTTCCTGGCACACTCCAGTAGAGTGGCTGATGTGCCCCATCCATGCCAGACATTCAATGCAAGATACCAACTAGCCTACAGGAAACCACTTCAAATCCCAACATGATGGACACGGGGTTCCCAGCAATGCCACAGTCTCACTCCACCCAAACACTTCTGCAGCTCTTCAGGACTTGCTAGGCACAGCTAAAGGTGAATAAGGAGTTTCCATGGTAAGGGCACATGGGAGAGAAATTGAGGATGGGACACCCCAGCCCCACAGAATTTAATATAACCAGAAAATCCACAAGGCAATCTTGTGCTTATTTGTTTGGTGTGGTTTGTTGTGGCTTTCTCCCCACTCCCTTCTTTCATCGCTCCTGAGTGGCTTGAAACTCAGTATTGTGGGGCTGTATCATTGGCATCCAGGTAATATTAGGATATTCAGAGCAACATCTTGATTCAAAATTAAGTTGGATCCCATCTCTAGGTGCACTCTTCTGCCTGATTTCCCTGCATATCCACCTGCAGCAAAACCAAACCCAGATGAAGAGGAAACCAGCAGTGACAATGCACCTACTCCATGGTTTATTACTTCCACTGAGAATGAGGTGGAGACCAGTTATTCTGCACATGCCCCAGAGATGCTCCACCACCTTTGTATACATGGCATAAGGGCAACTGTGAACACCAGGACCTGAACTGCAGGACAAGCGGAAGCAATCAGGGCGATGCACTACATCTGGGGAGGGCAGAATGCAAGATCCTTTAAAACTGTTAGGAGATAACTACAAACATAACCACAACATGGTAAACTTAGATTCTGAAGGGTGACTATTCCTGTGGATGTTTCCCGCTACTAAAAAACACACCCAAACCCCCTAATTTTATATAATATGGTGCCAATAGAGACAACCTATTTCTCACTAAGAGTAAATTCAGCAGACTGAGCTGTCCAAAACACCAATCTTCAGTGCTACAGAAGTAGGACATCTCTAAAATAAGCCTTCTTGCAAGGAACATTAAATAAATAAATAAATAAGTAGAATCTCAGAGTCACATTTTCAATAAAAGCTTACCAAAAGAAAGAAATAAGCCCTCGGAGACTTAAACCTTCTGGTTTAAAGCTTATACGGAGGCCTTTCTTATTAAAGTTATGGTGTTTTCCAAGGAATGCCGTGGAGAAAAAAAGGAGTATCACTGTAAAGAGAATTTTATTAGTTCATTTATATAATTACAAGTTTAAGCCATGAGGATCAGCCATGTTCTGGCTAGAAAGGTCAAATGTGAAGGTCCTGAGTATTCAGATTTTAGGAATTAGGCCGAAAGAAAGTTTTAAGATTAGAGGGTATTTTGACTGAACCTTTAGTTTAAAGTCTCTCTCAAGTAAACCTAAGTGAATTACGTATAATTTTTCATGACTGATTAGAGGGTACATTTGACAATCAGTTGCAACTTACATTCTGCTACCTGCCAGCTGGAGCATTGATGAGCCTTTTTATAACTTCATTAAAGCTACCTTGTGGAGACATTTAATCCTATAACGTCTTATAATACAGATGCACAAGTAAAACAATACCAGCTGCTGGCTTCTGGTCTTGTCATGTTGCTTTACCCCTTTACTTCTCCCCATACCATAAAGCACAACCCGAGTGCACAGAGACCATCTTGAAGGATACTAGCAGCAGGAACAAGCTGATTAGCTGATTCTTTTCTCCCTGACATCCAAGATCCAGTGCCCCTGAAGGAGCAGTAGGGCGTCATAGGGCCAGATCTTACTGAGGGACCCTCCTGAGCAAAAAGGTCATCTGATAATGTAGATGGTATTGTGGGTTTAGGGTTTTTTTGTGAACAGGCAAATTGACATGGACAGAATCCACCTATCTAACTGCTTGAAGTGATTCTCTTTCTCAAAGAGGAATTCTGGGAAGGTCTGGCACAGGGCTGTCCTCTTCAGCTCAATAGCAGAACAACCCTTGTCTAAATTAAGAATTTGGATTTTGGGTGATAAAATGGCTTAATGTGATCTTTGTCATCGGCTCTACAGCAAAACAATGGCAGACATAAAAGCATCATAACCAAGCAAGATGATGCAGCTCATCAACATGCAGAACTTCTTACCATGCGGCACACTTGCAAGTGCATCACATTTCAATGGTACCATTTATCTTTATACCCTTTTCTTGCTAGACCGTATTTAATTCCTTTCTTTGTCTGACCTCCAACTCCTCTGCCACAAAATAAGCAGCAGCAATGAGAAAGAGAGCAGAGAGAAGTTAGCAATTTATACCACAGACTTTGTGACTAACTGCTGAGTAGCATCTCTTCAGAATTAACATAATCTCTGAAAGGTTCCCATATGTTGGAAGCTGTGTGCATGTATGCTAATCAGCTTCAAATTATAATCAAGGTATTATAACACAACTTTGCTAAGGCAATGGCTGAGAAGATCAGCAAATTTTCCTCGGTGAGAAGAAAACGGAGCTTTGAAGGGGAAAATCTGATTCCTATCAGCTTCTGGCTTATCAGTGCACAGCCTGGGGAGGGAAAGAGACCTTGCAGGGGGACCACCCTCATGTCCAAGGAGTGTGGTAGCTAGGCCGTGTCTCTCCTGTTTCTCTCCAATAACAATGCAAAGAATTACCTGCAATGCAGACTAGATGTTGTCTAGATTAAGCCTCTTTGCCATGACTGGTGAGAGGATTGCATTGAACCATACAAGTAGCCTTAGAGAGCAGCAAGGTGCTGAGTGATTCAGCTCTTCTGCACAACAACAGCAGATCAGTGGGCTTCAGTCCTAACAGGGACAACAACATACAGATACAACAACACAGATACAAGTGCATGCATGTTGGCTGGGCTCTGTTTGCAACAGCAGCTGTACACAGCCTCTCTCACACGTGCATGCCTTACATGACACAAACAGAGTTAATGATGATAATTTAAACCTCACATTGGTTCTCTCCATTTGCTCCCTTTCTTTGATATACAGCCTGGAGGCCTCTGCATAGGAAAGAGCAGGTGTGCAAGTTGCTAATAAGATATTCATTAAGACCAGATTTTGATAGAGATGACAAGCCAAATCACCCCTACACTTCTGTTTCTCAGCATCCAGCTTTAAGAATCACTTTATTTACAGCTAGGAAAATTACCTGCAGCAGTATTGCTGGAGAATGAAAGCCTACAGTAACATTTAGTTTCCATTTCAGCTACTCTACACTGAATATTCCCTTTGGAAATTCAGAGAGCAGCTACATTGCCTGGTACATGTGTTATATAGAGACAATCAGAATGAGATATTTGGGCATTGACCTGCCTGATTATTTTGGGGCATTCTCTCCTTCCCACCCCGAACATACATTTGTGAAGCATGAAATGCATTCGCCCTTCCTGACTCAGTTCTATTCATTTTCAATCCTGACAGAACACTTGAGGTTGGCAAGTGAACTGTGCTAGGCTGGGTCATGTTTTCAAATGAAGACAAAAAACCCACAACCCTGGAGTAGATTGATATAATTTTGGTCTCATAGCTGACAATCATTTTTCATCATTGTTTCGAGCATGAAAGATTTAGCAATGGCTGCATAAAACTTCAGTGGCACAAACCTTTGATGTTCTGTCAAGCAGCTTTGCTTTTCTCCCCATCACACACACTGCAACCACAAATTACTCCCTGGCAATCCTGGTGAGGATTATGAAGATTATTAAATAGAAAGCTGAGGTTTAAGGAGTTATTAAAAGTACTTTTGCATTTCAACAGCGAACAAGCAATTGTGTCCTTTACAAAAAGCCCGATTCTCTTATTTTAATGTGCTGCTGATTTTTCTCTCTCTCAACTAGTCTTTTTGGAAGGCATTTTCACCTCAAATTCCAAGCAATCGAACTTTCATGAGCATTGCCTACTAAGAGAAAGCACCAAAACAAACAAACCAGGAGCATTAGCAACCCGCTTCTGAGCTGCAAACACAGGCACCAAAGCCGAGCAAAGCTTGTCTGAAAGGCCACTTCTGCTACTTGGAGTGTGAACCCTGCAAGAGAAAGCTACATGGCAGTATGGAATTAAAACATAGAATTCTGTTTTATTTTAAACTGCCTTCATAAATGGAGGTACCATCTATTTCACTATTAATAAAAGAAAGCAAAGCCAAGTACTCTGAATTCAGGACTATTTCTGCCCTGGCTTAAGGTCAATGGGGCTGTCCAGAGGTTCACTTCATGACTACAAGTGATATCATCCAAACAGGCTTTAGCTGCAAGATGGAGATAAAACTTCTCTAAGCAATTGATCTGCCCAAGGTTACAGAAGGTGGGGAGGTTAAAGAGTATCAGCATCTTCCTGAGAGCCTTGGAAATTAATACTAAAGATCATTATTAAGATCTTTAAATATGAGAATGATGCCTAGGCTCTATTGCAAACATTTTATTGGAACTGCCTTTCTGAATGAGCTCTAAGGCTATCTAGGAGGAGCACAGTTTAATGAAGGGATGGGAAGGAAGTAACAGTAGTAATAAGTCAATGAAATAGGTTTAGCTGTCTGTAGACAGATGAGGGTTTTATGCATATAATCACGTGCGGGCAGATAGGTGTTCAGATCCCCAAAAGCTGGGTTTATCTTTGATAGGACTAGGTAATTCACTCCAAATGCCTAAAATTTCATTGCTTTCAGGATTTAAAGTGACCTCCTCAGAGGCAGTGATGGAAGATCAAATCTAACACGCTT